CCTGACCTTCCGACCGACAATCTGCTCCGGGCCGCTGGTGCATCACTCTACTGGCCAGCCTCGTGGATACATCGGGCGCACACGCAACGGCACACATGCGCATACGTACACTTTACGTGTTATCCTCGTGAGGGGACATGAAATTTAATCTCATCGCGTGTTACCATAGGTTATTCGGTACCATAAGTGGCGCCGAATCAGAAGTACGCCCGGTGTAAGAGACTGATGGAGGGGAGGGGCAACTAGGTGATGCTTTTGTGAAGAATAAAGTGGGAATAAATTGGTAGACTGAGCGACAGGCTTAGTATGTAGTCTCATTTCGGTTCGAACATGTCGGCATTATCATATTTCGCCTATTCTTCGGACATTGGTTGGGGGATAGTGTGTAGCGAGGCGTTGAACGAAGACCCTCAACTTGCATATACAGTTGAACACGTATGCGTGTGCAAGCTTGTCCGCCTTGGAGCTCATGTTAATGTAAATCGACTGACGCATGAAGTCCGTGCCAGCATAGGCAAGCAAAACCTATACCTAATATTAGCTTAAAGTTGTACTCACGTTTTGTTAGAAAAGATGTGCTTATGTGCATGTGGCTGTTTTAGACCGGGTCCGGTTGTTTATATTCATGGAATGCCCCCATGCGCCATGCCTAAACTGGCTCTGGCAGGAGGGAGATGGTGAAGGAGGGCGGCATTTTCTAAAAGTCTTCAATGCCTGCTACGGTTTTGCATATTTGGACTGTGCAGGCGAACTTGTTGTGGATGTAAAGTGGGGCTGTATCTGCGGTGGTGTGGGTTGCCGGCCGCTGTTCATTTGCCCTCCCAGGCCTTCCAAAGGCGGCCTAGTGGGCCCCATTTGACACCACCGAGCGCCGATTCACAGTTCCAGTTTTCACGGATGCTCCGTAAAGAAGGGAACCACAAAAAACAGCAAACTTTCTGACGAGTCCATGACAAGGAAACACCGGAACGAGGTCTATCTGCACATGCGACACCCATACAGAGACGGAGTGCATTGGGAATAAGTGTGTATGTGTATGTGTGTATGCATGAAGCAAACTAATGAGCACAGCCGACGACATTTTCAGCTAAGGCTTGCCGTCTCATGGACAACTTTGTCGCCTCCGGCCGTTAGCCTACTGAAAGAGCATAGACTATAGGAAAATATGCGAAGAAAAGTTGGGTTTCGAGTGAAAATGTTTGGTGAAGAGATCCGAAGAAATTCCCACCAGAAAACGACGGCGGATTCCTCTCGACCAGCTGCCGATTGGCTTTACTGGAACATTCTTGTTTATGCTGTTTCTGAGGTAATCTCCTTTGATTCCGGTGAAAATGTACTGAACTTTTGTTTGTCGTATGACGAACTTCCTCAGAGCAGGGTATCATCCTTAACCAAATTCGAGCGAACGAGACAAGAAAACAGCTTTTAGGGTAATAAATGGATATAAAGTTGCCATAGCATTACAATGGTTGAAGGTAAAAGTGTTTACTTGTCTCTGACAAGAGAATGGCCGAGTTACTGGTAACTTTCACTTAGAATGCCGATTGCAAATCCGGTGCAGCGCCCGGGAATGTATCAAATGCTCGGTCCGAGACTGGAATCTGTTATGATGGCTATGGTAGAATACGTCGCCTTGGCAACATGAGATAGTTGAGAAAGCGAGGTCAGGCCAAGTCCATTCAGCAAAATTGATTGCAACCAAAAAGGAGGTCTTCATACCCACGATTATTCTCAGCAAGTTGTTTAATGCTCCCAGCTTCTCGCCATGGTAGAGGACTGGCCGGTGAAGACAATATGACCACTTGAATGTCCTTCTTTGTCGCAACACGCTTTGAAGTACTATTGCCTGTGAGAATGAGCCTTCCCAAAGGCCTTCTAAAGAACTATAACGAAGTTGATCATATCATGCTGCTTAGACCATCCTTATTGGCTCTGTTCAATGACGGTTAGGTATGACAATTTACGAAGAGACCAGCTTCCCTTTAAAGAGGGCGGATAAGCAGCCGCATTGAAGCGGATCTTTGATTCAACCAAATCACACTCCATAGTTGTTTTAGGGCGACAATGGTGTAGGCTTTTTGGAATTCCATTCTAGTGTTGTGCACTACTCGAAGCTGTGAAAAGCTGTTGGAATCCAGTACATTTGCAGGTATCCAAGTGACTTGCAGCTGCGGATCGAGGGTATTTGCCAATTGGCAGCACCAAAAACCGCGGTAAGATTGTCTTGTTGATGTTAACATACACCTCCTCGGAATAGCATCCTGCGGTTCTGATGAATCAGTGTTCAACTTGCATCTGCCCAACCATGACAAGCTGGACGATGTCTGCCACAGCGGAGTAGAAGAAAACTCATTATAAATAAATAAGAATGCCAAGCAAAAGTCATAACTCCAAGACATCCTTTCTTAATTTTAAGATGAGACAATTTCATGAACCCCTTCAAACCACCTCTTTGAACGAGATGAACTATACAATAACAGCAATTT